GGCAGAGTATAACACACTGGAGCATTTCCATGGATTCTTTGATCTCCCTCCCTGATAAAAATATAACTGATGGATTATAACTGATTGATGTACCTGAATTTCACCTGATAACTCAGATGTTGGGGAATTCTATGCCTCCTACAACCTAGATCCAAAGCTGGCAAAGATTGGTATATATATCTATATTCCCTAATAAATATATATATATATATATTATTTTTTTTACTTATTTTGGCCATCAACAATTGCCTAGAAGCAAATTTGATACAAAAAAAAACATTTTGTTGCAGTTAGCTTCTGACCAGACAACCCTAGTGTATTAAATCAGTTGGCAGCAAGGTTGCTATAGCAGTGTTAGTTTCAAGTTAACGATCATCCTTAGAACAACTGTTAGGTCATGTATCTATTAATGCCATCTGGAAACGAGAAGTTCAGTTACTTTTATTGCTTATTAACACACATAAGTATGCTGGAGCAAGCAAAATACTATGGCAACCAGGAAAACGTACAGTCTGTCACAAGAAAACTGAATAATTAAATAAAGCTGACACATCCAGTACCTATTCTTTAAAAATTAATGTAAGTATAACATATATAAATATAAGTATAATATATATAAACATGAGTTGGTTATGGCTGAGATGCTGACTGCCACAAAATAAACATGGCTATTGGCGTCACAAAACAGCGTACAAATATTAAATAATATATAATAGATTTAGTTATAAAATATGACTCCACAACCCTACCACAGCTTTAATGTTTCCCATTTTGGTAAGTCCTAATGATTGGTGTGTTGACAATAATCCATATTATCGGACATCCATTGTCAGGGACACTCAGCACATTAAGGTTTTAACAAGGCTGCATAAACAACACATACGATGGTGGATCTAGACATTGTGAGTGCTTAGGCGAAACTCAAACATGAGGGCCCCACTAGGATCCATAGTGAAAATAATATGGGTTGCATTGTGTTTGTTTAAGGAGCTGTAGTTATATTGAAGGACGGGTTTGCAGCACTGGATACAGAGAGCTAGTGTCTGTATCCCACAGTAAATTAAGCTATATGCTGACAAAAAGACTTCAAATTCTAGATCACAAACAGTGCCCTGCTGAAGAGATCCTAAAGTTTTAAATTGTGTAAAGCTTGGTTTCTGGTCATTGGAACTTTTGTATCCCGACTCATACTTTATGTCATGGGTTCGTGAGTCTATTGCTGTTATTACTTCAATCCTCCACTAGTCCTAATTCAAGATGTGCTGAATATAGTGAAAGTATTCCCTTTGTGTAGAGTTTCCCCAATATAGTGCATGCAACCAGTCCTATTGGGTAAAAGCAGCAATCTGAACTTTATTAAGCCACACTCGGCTTCTTATGCAGTTCCCATAGCATGGGGTTTCTAATACAAAATCACAGGGGCTTCCTTCCCACAAGCCATTGTGTTTGAGAGATAATTGAGCTCCAATTGAGCTAATCTAATTATCTCTGAAATAGGAAAACTTACATACAATTTCTCACATATCACAAAAATACATGACAACAGTATCAGAACCCCACAAAAATGATATTCCCGAATAGCCCCAATCTGAGCGCAAGACATATCCAATAAGCACTCAGATCAGTTCGGTAAAATTAAAGTTATGTTTGTGCATATATGAACTGGCTGCCTGGTAGAGGTGGTATTATCAGTTTCACAAGGGGTTAATTTGATTGTATGGGAGGTCAGAGCTTACAACCTAAACTACTCTGTAAGGTGTGAGAAGTCACACATAAGTGGCCTGGAAGTCTGGTTTCAGTATAAACTAACTCTCATTTGCCATATGTCTTGATTAGTGATGTCCCGAACGGTTCGCGAACGGTTCGCCGAACGGTTCGCCGAACGGTTCACCGCGGACTCATCATTCCAGCCAATCAGCAGCAGACCCTCCCCCCCAGGCCCTCCATTTTGAAGCTGCATTCTTAGTGAGCTGTCCAGGAGGTGGGAGGGTCTGGGAGGGAGGGTCTGCTGCTGATTGGCTGGAATGATGAGTCCGTGGCGAACCGTTTGATATGTCTAAATCCAGTTATAGCCAGTTTAGGCCTTTTATTATATATTATGCATCTATCTCATCACCTGCTCTGTGTGGTCCAAGAATTGGCTATAGCTGTATTTTCCTATCCAAACATTTCCTAGATTTGAATCATTATTAATGAACACTAGTGTGGTGTTTATTGTGTGATTTACATTACACATGTAATGCACTAGGCTGAAACACGATACAATTTATACAATTTATAGCTACCTTCCTGCTTCTTTTAAGTGGTTTTATTGTTCTCTGTTAAAAAAAGGAAAATGAGACCTTGAAACTGTTTCAATAAAATCTTAATTAAAGCGGCAGTGTCACCCCCTGCAAAATGAGTATTTTAGGAAGATAGGATCTTTATGGAATAGTCATGCTGACTGTGTTGGAATTTCACTGAAATTATAACACAGTGAAAAATATACTTAAGGAACTACTTTTTCTCAGTATATTTCCTGCACCTGACTCTTCTAGACACTAAGTGGAGCCCGCGCCGTCTAGAAGTTTCAAGACTTTGCAGGATCCTCCATAGACATCAGTGTTGTATTCTCGCGCATGCACATGTTTAAGTAAGTAATCTCACCTTTCCCTGGCCCCCACGACCACCTGACTACCAGCATCGTTTTCACTGTCCAAAGCAGTGGCGGATCCAGGGAGGGGGCAATTGCGAAATTGAGAAAACCGACGGTCTCCTTCTCCCCTGCCAGCACATGCAGGCGCCAGCCCTGCAATGTGCCTTCACGGACTGGAGGGGAGATCAGAGATCTCCCTCCCTGGTCTGCGGGCACCATGCTGCCGGCATGGGAGGGAGGAAAAGAGGACCCGGGAGCTCAGCCTGCAGCTCCTCCGGGTCCTTCTCTTGCGAGCATGGAGCATTGCCACGGTTACCACAGCAATGCTACAGATCTCGCGAGAGTGAACTCTAGCCCAGGAGCTGTGGGCTAGAGTTCACTCTCCCCACTGGGACCACCAGGGATCGAGAAGTGTCCCCCTCCTCCCTCATTAAAGGTAAGAAGGGAGGGGGGACATTATGTATATTTATTTTAATTAAATAAAAATTTTTTTATAAAAAAAGCCCCCCCCTACCCTTCTTATCAAACACACTCACACCCTACACACACACATTGCCCCTCCCCTCTCACACACATATACAGCCCCCATATACACACTGCCCGCCACATAACACACTGACCCATATACACACACACACTGCCCACATACACACCCTGCCCCCCACATACACACATTGCCCCACATGCACACACACTGCCTCCCATACACACATTGCCCTACACATACACTGCCCCCCCATACACACATACACTGCAATCCACACACACATACTGACCCACACATACACTGCCCCCCTAACACACACACTGCACCCCTGACATACACTGCCGCCCTCACTCAAACACTGCAACCTTCACACACACACACATTGCTCACACACTGTCCCCCTCACACACACACTGCACCCCTCACACATTGCACCACTCACACACACCACTGCTCCTATGCCCTACTACACTCCTATTTCCCAGCAGACATCAGGTAAGTTGTCAAACTGTTATTAAACAATTTGACTACTTATTCTGGAAGGGGGTCCCGGCACTATTGGCACCATAACCACTATACTGAGCTGTAGTGGTTATTATGTCTGGATTATTTAAATAATCTACAAGTGCCCCTCCCGAGATCAGGCTCTGGATTCGCCACTGGTCCAAAGTCTTTGAAAATTATGGTTATTATGTATTTATAAGTGTAAAACACTTTTCTAATATGATTTCATTCTGTTTAAAATGAGCAATGGGTCAGTTAAATGAAAATTTGAGCTAGGGTGCATAAAGGTAACTGACAGAAAGGGAGAGTCTGAAAGGTAGGTAGGCGATTTATTTAAATATTTCAATACACACAATGAATAAAAAGAAACTACGAGACAGCATATTATACAAAGATTACATTAAGATGTTGTATATCTCATACATATTGCACAAGGCTGAAACACTATGCAATTTATAGGCACCTTCCTTCTTGTTTTACGTCGTTTAATTGTTTTCTGCTAGAAGAGAACATGAGACCTTGAAACTGTTTCAATAAAATGTTACTTAAATGATTATGTATATATTAGTGTAAAACACATTTCTATAATGATTTTATTCTGTTTATCCATTCTGAGTGCTTTCTGGTTATGTTTTTCAGATTTTAATTAAATTCTATCTGTGCAAATAATGTATATATACATTGTTTAATTCACATTGCAGCAAACATAATGTTTAAAGACACTCACAATGTAGGCTCGTGTGCACACTAACTGGGATCATCGGAAAAGTACTTGTTCCAACAAACCTTATCAAGTCACATTCACCCCATAGTGGGGCTTTATCAAAGACCATATACATTTATATAATTACTAACCTTTTCTTAACATAGTGATAGTGCAAGATGTAATCGGTCACCATTTTTGTTCTGTTAGGGATATTATCATAACATCAACACCAGGAGGTATTATTATTAATTTTATTATATTTATATAGCGCCAACAAATTCCGTAGCGCTGTACAATGGGTGGACTAACAGACACATAATTGAGATCAGACCACTGGACGTACAGGAACAGAGGGGGTTGAGGGCCCTGCTCGATGAGCTCACATGCTAGAGGTAGTGGGGTATGCATTCAGAAGAAAGAAAGGCGGTATGCGTAAATGATGGGGGTCTTTATTTGATATCCGATACTCCCCTTTAGAGCCTGCTTCTTACCTTTACTCATTCCTGATATGTAGTCTGAGTTTTGCATGGATGTATCCATTTTTATTTTACTGTTGCTGTCTTGTTGTGCTCATTATCGAATATCTGGGTGTATTGTCATCCGTAGTTTGTATTTGGATATTTTTTAGATTTTTTATATAGATCCATTTTATACCTTATAGTCTGTGTATGCTTTTTATGTTTGTTTTAGTGTACATAATAAAGATTATGTGTATTTTACAAGTGTATATATATTCTTAATTTGTACTGAATCTTTATTACCAATGGGCACTTCTACTCGACGTGTCTGGTGCAGCAGCCAAATGTCGAGTAGAAGAGGTGTCTCTGAGCTCAGAGTTACTGGAAGTGACTTAAACTGGGACAGGAGCACCACATATGGTAATGTGATTCTTAGGTTCCACACCGTTTCCAACACAAAACCGAAGGGATTTACACGTATGTTATAATTTTACAATTTCTTTTTTTTTTTGTAGTTTGTTCACTATGTATATTTTAAGGGAACAGTTCTTATATTGTTATCTAAATTACAAACAGCTCCATTAGTTATATATGTGTTCAACCACCAAAATAAACATTTATCCATTCTCCCATTTCATAGATGCTTTTCCTATCAATCCATTAAGGGTCATTCTAAGCACCATGAAAACGTATACTACTTGGTTGTGGTACATGGAGGTTCATTATCACCATCTATCTTCACACAGCTATATCCAAAAACATCACTACAATTATAAACCCGGATCTTCGGTGCTTGACGTCATGCTTCTTAAGCTGCCCGCTGAAATATTTGTACATCTGTAGACCTTTTACGAATCTCCAATTCCCCAACAGGTTTCTTTACTGTAACTGGGTAGTTAAAGCTACATCAAAGAGAATGAGAGACTATCATTGGCTATTCCAATTCCTGGTTGCAGAAACTAGGCAAAGGTTTAATTCTTATTTAACATTTAATTTCTATTTATTCTTAACAGATTATCCATTAAATGCAATTACAAAAAGTAGGGATCACTTTCAGCCTGTAGTGTCCCTTTAATTCAGTTTATATTTTGTAGTTCTATTTTTCTCGGTCTTTTAAATTAAACATGAAATACTTCCCAAGAAAGAGATAGTGGCGAATCCAGTGCTAAATTATTACTTAGTTGCATGTGGTGTATAGCGTAGTTGCTAATTTGTCAGAGATGCTTGTAAGTAGCTAGGTCAAGCAACACAGTTTCATGGAAATATCCTGCAGCGTTGTATCCCACAGAATGGAGAAAACACGTATCTATACCCTTTGTTAGGCACGGCAATAAGCAATGGATCACTCATTTGATTCCAAAAATATAGATTGCAACAAGGAGTTTCAACAGAGCTAAATTTACAATCATTTGTGAAACTGGCGTGTACATTGTGTAGACTGAATTTTCATGTTAAGAATACAAATTTCAAACGTGCATTCAAATTAGGTAAATACTTTAGAGACTCGTGTAATTTATTGTAGAACATTTTACAAAGGAGACAAACATTAAAAATGGACCAGGGTTCTATAGATCTCATAGCAAGACCGCTGCATTTTTCATGACACATACAGTAAAGTATTCTACCCTTCAGAGGCCCCGCATTTCCATATGAGCATTGTGTTTCTATGTTCAGAAAGTTAAACTAAATAAATAAACAAATCTGACGGGCCCCTGGCTAACATCAAATTTGGAAGACACCAGACATTACAGTGTAAAAGCAGATACTCTGAAAAATCCATCAGTTGAAATAGAATTATATATATTTTTTCTAAACTGAAAAAATAATTAATTACTAAATAGTAATACTTAATATTTGTATCTAATACTGCAATTACTAAATACAAAATTTTCATTAACATTTAATCAACCCATGGGCATTGCCTGACTGCAGTTTGATACTTACCTGGCTCTGCCGTGCTCAAGTGGTCCTTCTGCTCTGAACAGACATCATAAAACAGAGGTTCAAACTACCAATTACTATTAGTAGTCAGCTGACACTCGCTGCCAATCAATAATATCTAAATATGCACAGAATTGCTAATGCTAAACAATGAACTTCGACTTTAGCATATCAGTGAGCAGGGCTCAAAAGAGACAAACTCATTTCAAAAGAGTCAAACTATTCGTAAATGATTTAACCACTTACTATTGGAATCCACCATGGGGAAACTGGCACCATAAAAACTACAGTGAGTTGTAGAGGTAATGGTGCTTAGAGTATCCCTTTAATGTAAGTATTAATATGTTTTATTTCAGGGAGACCCATATAAAAATATATAGTTAAAGGGGAAAACTGCATCGCCAAGGGCCTATAAGCATTCCCTTGATGATGCGGTTTAATGAAGTGACACAGTTATGCCTGTGAGATACTAGATAATTAGGCCTATTCATTATATCTAGCCTCCATCCCCAGAACACAGGTTGGTTAAGATAGCCATTCTCCTCTAAACAAGGAATGAGGAGAGGAATTGGATGGGAACTTTGCACTGGGTCACATTTTGGGACCATTTCTTTATTTTTATCTGACCTCCAAAAAATAAACCCCTAAAATTCACCTAAATAATTGTTTTGTACATTATAAGGCTAGATTTTATTTAAATGAAGATTGCTGAATAAATGTTTTTATATGAATTGCATATTGATTCCACCTTAATTCTGGTCTATATTCACCCTCGTAGACAAATTTGTGTTCCCTTCAATTAGAATCTTGCAAAGTGGAAACCAGTTCTCAAGTAAAATAATTTTCCAAAATCGAAAACAGCCAATGGAATGGCCAAGCTCAGGGGTATACGCCTTCAGGTCCGTCAAGGCGACCTTTCCCTTTCTTGTATCACCAAAAGCGACACCCACGTTGTGGCTAGAGCTCAAACAAAAGTATATATAGTGCAATATAGTCTAAAATCCGTATTGATATAGACAGTATGTGTATATATACTCACAAGTGTGGAGCCTCCCTCTTAGGCTCTTTTTCAGCGCGTTGTGTAGTTAAGGACTACACTCCTATATAGCAGGAACCAATAGCCCAATAAAATTCAAATATTTATTTAGGTATACTGAATTTAAAATTCTAATGGCCAATTAGAATACATAAAAACAAAGTATGTATAAAAGTAATAGTTATAACAGTAATATAAATTGTATAACAACAATGGGCATAAAGGTGATGATATTAAAGTCCCCAGAACGCGTTTCGCCAAAAAACTATCGGCTTCATCAGCTAGGTCAATCTAATCCTCCTTCTATCTGGAGTCCTGCTATTATACCTTATCCTTGATTTTGAGCGGCGTCCAGCTGTCTTTTTTGGCGCGCTGGTATTACCTCCTTTCCTCGTTCGGTATTGTATGCGTTTCAAGCCTCCTTTTCGTTGCGGTTCACTTCCGCGTCTGACGTCATACGTCAATCTTGCGTTCTTCCTGTATGCATTTCAAGCCTCCTTTTCGTTGCGGTTCACTTCCGCGTCTGACGTCACACGTCAGTCCTGCATTCTCCCTATTAAGTGTTCATTTGTATTCTTACCAGGGTTACAGGCATAGAGCAGAGATAACAATCTCGGGGGAAATCTCCATATTGCACAAAGTCTCCCCCCTCACAGAAAAACCGCACATTAATCCATACCATATAATAAAAAGAGATATTAAACACATGAAATACACATAAAGCTATAATAATCTTCCCAATAAAAAGTCTCAGCAGCATACACAGTATATAATAAAAACAATAAAAAATGCTATTTTATTTAAGAAAACTGATTTTAGAAGTGCATATCCACATAAGGCAATAAATAATAAATAATTAATATCTTCTCTACAATCTATTAGAGTTAAATCTAATAACTCTAGAAAAAAAAAAAAAAAAAAAGGTTTAATTTAAAAAATGACAGATTTCAAATTCAGAATTTAAACCATAGGGGATGAGAGTGTTAAGTTCAAAGATCCATTTCATCTCTTCTTTACTGAGTTTCTGATTAAAATCTCCTCCCCTCCAATCTTTTTCTACTCTCACTAATCCTAAAAATAGGCTACCTAGTGGAGATTGATTATGATGTATTTTATAATGGAGGGGTACACTATGATTCTCTCCTCCTTTAATTATATTTCTACTATGCTCCTCGATCCTAACATGGAGTGGCCGAGTCGTTTTTCCCACATAATTTAGTCCACAGGGACATTGCATTACGTAAATGACATTGTTTGTATGACATGTGATTCCTTCTCTAATTTCATATTCTTTCTTCTCTTTGCTCATGAAGTGTGTGATTTTTCTTCTTTTATTTCCTGTTCTCCTACACGCTAAACAATATCCACAGCCAAAAAACCCTTTTTCTCGCTGAAAGAATGTATCATTGTTTTTCTTTTCTTTAATAAAACTGGATGTAAGAATACTTCGTAAGTTCCTTACTCCTCTGTGGATAAACTGAGGTTGTGGCGGTAATATTTCCTCTAACACTGGATCTTGGCGTAAAATAGGCCAGAATCTTTTTATGATATTCCTAATCTTAAAATTTTCAGTGCTAAAATTGCAAATGAATGGCACTCCTTCCCTATTCTGATGTATACGGTTTTGATATCTCAGGAGCTTATTTCGTTCTATCTCCTTAACTTGTTCCCTTGCTTCTTCTAATTTTTTATCTCCATATCCCTTTTCTAAAAAATCCTGTTTAATCTTCATTGACTGTTTATTATAATTCTCTAAATCTGTACAATTTCTCCTAATACGTAAAAATTGCCCTCTAGGGGCATTCTCCAACCATGGAGTAAAATGGCAACTTGCCTTTTCAATAAAACTATTCGCATCTACTGCCTTAAAATGATTTTTCGTCTTAATTTTCCCTTCTTCTATAAAAATAGTCAAATCTAAAAAAGATATTTCTTTCTCACTCCAAGTACTAGTTAGATTGATCCCCCATGTATTAAAATTTAAAAAAGCTAAAAATTCCTCCAAAAGAGGGGCTCCTCCTTTCCAAATGAAGAAAATATCATCGATGTAACGGCCATAGGAGGCCAAGTTCGCACCCCAGCCATGTCCTTCATATATAAAATGTTGTTCCCAATATGACATAAACAAATTGGCATAGCTGGGGGCGAACTTCGTCCCCATGGCCGTCCCATTCATCTGTAAAAAATATTCTCCACCATACCAAAAATAATTATTTTCCAGGATCAATCTTATACCCTCTAAAATATACTCTATTTGGGTCTCCAAGAAATCTGAATTATTCCTTAAAAAATATGCTACTGCTCTACACCCGTACTCATGAGGTATGTTGCTATATAATGACGCTACATCACACGTTACTAATAAAGAATTTTCCTCCCATACACAGTTATTTAGCATATTTAATACTGCTATGGTATCTTTTATATAGGATTTTGTATTTTGTACTAGGGGTTGGAGTTGTAGATCTATATAGTGTGAGAGTCTGCTAGAAATTGCATCTATCCCCGCCACTATTGGCCTACCAGGGGGATTAGTGATGCTCTTGTGTATTTTAGGTAAAAAATAAAAAACTGGGACTTTCGGGTATATAATATTAATAAAATCAAATTCTTTTTGACTAAATATCCCTATATCTAGCCCCCTTTTCAGGAAATTCCTAAATTTATCCTGGATCTCCAGACAAGGATTAACTGTCAATTTTTTATATGTTACTCCTTCTGTCAAAATTCTTATGGCTTCCTTATTATAAGATTCTTTAGTCATAATGACTATACCCCCCCCTTTGTCTGCTGGCTTTATAACTAAATCTTCTCTATTTTTCAAGTCTCTAAGGGCTTTTTTTTCCTGTATGTTTAAATTGTCCTGAAAATTTTCTTTAAGATCCAATTTTTTGCATTCATTAAGGACCATAGTCTCAAATGTAATCATTTTGTCACTTATCATCTGTTTAGGAAAAAAATTTGATTTCTTTTTAAGGTTCGTGTGTTTGAATTCATTCTCCATCTGTATCTGCCTTTCCGTAGGGTTTTTTATAAAAAATTTCTTGAGGCAAAGGTTCCTCTTAAACTTATTTAAATCTACGTATATATCAAAAGGATTAATATGCTTACTCGGGGCGAATTTTAACCCTTTTTTAAGGATCTTAATTTGATCTTTAGTTATTTCCATTCCACTTAAATTGTGTATTCCCAACCTACTGGGGTCCCCGTTTAATTCTATATCTTCTAGTTTTTTTCTTTCCTTTCTCTCTTGTCTTTCTTTGACTGATTTTCCTCCTCTCTTTCCTCTTGAAACGAATACCTTCGTCTCTTGAGGTTTGGGGGAAAATCTCTCCTTAGTTCTTCCTTGTGTCTTTCTATAATTCGACTCCTCCAAAAATCCTGTTCCCCTTCTCTATTCTCCAAGGCTTGATACTGATTATACACTCTTAAGGGTTCTCTGGTTTGGGGCTGGTGTCTTTCTCTATCTCTCCTCTGTGTAGTTCTCTCGTAATAGGGGGACTGATCAGAAATCCTTTCTCTCTCCCCTTGTAGTCTATTACTCCTTCTTTCATTTTCATCCCTTCGTTTATCCCTAAAACTAACTCTCCGAGATCTAAAGTAGGGTTTATATTCATAATTGTTCCTCCATTCTTTCTTCTCATATTTATTTTCCACCTTCCTCTCAGTCTGTTTTTTCTCCAGAGCATCTTTATAGGTTATTTGAGGTATAGGATTTTGCCTATATCTGGGTTCATATTGAGTATAATGAGGAAAATTTTGTCTTGAATTTTTATATTTATCCATCTCCCTATAGTTCTCATCTCTAAATTGTCCTTGATGCTTAGAAAAGGATCTTACTTGTTTATTTTTGTAATCTCTTTTATCTCTCAAATATTTATTTTTCTTTATTTCTATTACCCCTCTCTCTACTTTATCCAAATTATCCTTAATCTCCTGTGTTATGCAATCAAATTCTTCCTGATTTAACGCATTCAGGATTTCATCCTGACATTTATTTATTTCCACATCTAACTCTTTTAGGTTTTCTATCCTTCTTTTAATAATAAGTTGCATAGTAGTGAAGGAAAAACCTTCCAACATACTGTGCCATTCTTCCATAAAGCCCATATGTTCCTGATCAAATGTGGGCATTTTGAAATATCGTAAACCTCTTGGGGTAATCTTTTCCCCTATATATTTTTCCAGTGTGGCTATCTCCCATTTTATTTTTAGTTCCTTTTGCAGGAGTTTATCCAATTTCTCACTGGTTTTATTGGGTTCAATTATTCTTTTATTGTTCTCTGGTCTCTCCACCCAGTTGGCAAATTCAATCGCCATTTCTCTATGTATGTTATTTCTTTTGTCAAATAGAGACATTTTCTCAAATAGCCGCCTTGTATATATAGATTATGTACAATTAGAAAATAGTAATATACTGGCGCTTTATACAAAACCTATTTGTCACACGTTATATAACAATATTCAAGTAATAGCTGCTATATCACCATGTGTAATCTTTCCTTATACACTAATCATAAACATATACATAAAACAAAAGGTGAAGCGCTACATACAGATCGAAATCCAATTCTTTTGTTGTTACTCTTTCAAAACAGTGATGTGTATATTTATTTCTGAAAGAGAAATTAAATGTTCATAGTGCAACACTGTAAATAAAGAATTATTACAATCGTAGCTCTATATATGGAACCACTCACATATTACTGAGCTTACGGCCAAGCTCAGGGGTATACGCATTCAGGTCCGTCAAGGCGACCTTTCCCTTTCTTGTATCACCAAAAACGACACCCACGTTGTGGCTAGAGCTCAAACGAAAGTATATATAGTGCAATATAGTCTAAAATCCGTATTGATATAGACAGTATGTGTATATATATACTCACAAGTGTGGAGCCTCCCTCTTAGGCTCTTTTTCAGCGCGTTGTGTAGTTAAGGACTACACTCCTATATAGCAGGAACCAATAGCCCAATAAAATTCAAATATTTATTTAGGTATACTGAATTTAAAATTCTAATGGCCAATTAGAATACATAAAAACAAAGTATGTATAAAAGTAATAGTTATAACAGTAATATAAATTGTATAACAACAATGGGCATAAAGGTGATGATATTAAAGTCCCCAGAACGCGTTTCGCCAAAAAACTATCGGCTTCATCAGCTAGGTCAATCTAATCCTCCTTCTATCTGGAGTCCTGCTATTATACCTTATCCTTGATTTTGAGCGGCGTCCAGCTGTCTTTTGGCGCGCTGGTATTACCTCCTTTCCTCGTTCGGTATTGTATGCGTTTCAAGCCTCCTTTTCGTTGCGGTTCACTTTCGCGTCTGACGTCATACGTCAATCTTGCGTTCTTCCTGTATGCATTTCAAGCCTCCTTTTCGTTGCGGTTCACTTCCGCGTCTGACGTCACACGTCAGTCCTGCATTCTCCCTATCTCTGCTCTGCTCTATGCCTGTAACCCTGGTAAGAATACAAATGAACACTTAATAGGGAGAATGCAGGACTGACGTGTGACGTCAGACGCGGAAGTGAACCGCAACGAAAAGGAGGCTTGAAATGCATACAGGAAGAACGCAAGATTGACGTATGACGTCAGACGCGAAAGTGAACCGCAACGAAAAGGAGGCTTGAAACGCATACAATACCGAACGAGGAAAGGAGGTAATACCAGCGCGCCAAAAGACAGCTGGACGCCGCTCAAAATCAAGGATAAGGTATAATAGCAGGACTCCAGATAGAAGGAGGATTAGATTGACCTAGCTGATGAAGCCGATAGTTTTTTGGCGAAACGCGTTCTGGGGACTTTAATATCATCACCTTTATGCCCATTGTTGTTATACAATTTATATTACTGTTATAACTATTACTTTTATACATACTTTGTTTTTATGTATTCTAATTGGCCATTAGAATTTTAAATTCAGTATACCTAAATAAATATTTGAATTTTATTGGGCTATTGGTTCCTGCTATATAGGAGTGTAGTCCTTAACTACACAACACGCTGAAAAAGAGCCTAAGAGGGAGGCTCCACACTTGTGAGTATATATACACATACTGTCTATATCAATACGGATTTTAGACTATATTGCACTATATATACTTTTGTTTGAGCTCTAGCCACAACGTGGGTGTCGCTTTTGGTGATACAAGAAAGGGAAAGGTCGCCTTGACGGACCTGAAGGCGTATACCCCTGAGCTTGGCCGTAAGCTCAGTAATATGTGAGTGGTTCCTTATATAGAGCTACGATTGTAATAATTCTTTATTTACAGTGTTGCACTATGAACATTTAATTTCTCTTTCAGAAATAAATATACACATCACTGTTTTGAAAGAATAACAACAAAAGAATTGGATTTCGATCTGTATGTAGCGCTTCACCTTTTGTTTTATGTATATGTTTATGATTAGTGTATAAGGAAAGATTACACATGGTGATATAGCAGCTATTACTTGAATATTGTTATATAACGTGTGACAAATAGGTTTTGTATAAAGCACCAGTATATTACTATTTTCTAATTGTAGCCAATGGAATGGCTTTGAATCTACAATGCAGTTTTGCAGGATTATATATATATATATATACTTTTAACTTGCAGTAAGTAGATTGAGATACACACTCACAGTAAACTGGAATTTACAAAACAATCCTGATATTCATTAATACAGCTACAATTTTCACAGCAAGACTGCAGGTTTTGAACAGTTCAGAAATGTAGTTAACATGATATTAATATTTGGGAAGGATACATGATATTTACAGATATTCTGAAGTCTAATGAATAACGCTTGTGATGGAGCTCCTGTACTCCCAGTCCACTTCCTAGCCGCTTGCAGGCACCCTGGAACGCTTCAGCCCACAGTCGCCAATGCTTGACTGGGGTCTCACTGGAGCTCTTCCTCCCTTCCAGGCAGCTGTCATCCCATCTGCCTATTCCACTAAAGCGCTCCTTCCAGGCAGTTATCATCCCTTCTGCTATTTCTCTGCTGCTTACCTTCCAGGCAGCTATTGTCCCCTCTGCATTTTCCTCTGGAGCTCTGCTTACAGTGATTATAGTTATTGCCTTTACAAAGACACTTAAGGCTCTCAGGCCTAGCTCTCTTGCTTTATCCCAGGGCAACCAGCAAATGGGTCCAAACAGGGCCGGATTAACATAGGGGCTGATGGAGCTGCAGCTCCAGGCCCAGGCCCAGGCCCAGGCCCATGGAATAGGCCCATTGATTTAAAAAACACACTACTCTTTGGGTTGCCAGGTATTTCTCATGTATTTCTTATGGTTGCTCAGGAGTTTTTCTCAGGTATTTGAGGCTGCCTAGTCGGTGCCGGTATTGCAGTAATACCGGCAATACAAATGTCTGTCTCAGTATAAACAGGGGTCGCTGTTTGTGTGGAGAGAAGCAGGGACAAGAAGTTACAGCACCTCCCTCTCTGCCTCTCTCTACACACTGATCCGCGGGGGAGCAGCTCTGCACAGATAGTCCAGACAGCAGCTCTGAGTCTGCAAGACATGGGGACGGTGAGAGACTTGGGGACGCTGAGACATTGGGACACTGGGAGACAAAGGGACACTAGGGACACAGTGGCCCCATCTCTCTGTGTCCCCATGTCTCCCAGCCAGTGTCCCTAGTGTCTCACTGTCCCCATGTCTCCCAGTGTCCCTGGTGTCTCCCAGTGTCCCTGATGTCTCTCAGTGTCCCCATGTCTCTCAGTGTCCCTGGTGTCTGTGTCCCTAGTCTCCCAGAATTCCCTAGTCTCCCAGTGTCCCTGGTGTCTCTCAATGTCCATAGTGTGCCAGTGTCCCTAGTGTCTCAGTGTTTCCTAGTTTCCCAAAGCCGCCTAGTCTCCCAGCGTCTCAGTGTCCCAATGTCTCCCAGTGTCCCCTAGTATAAAAGAAAAAATCTCAGGCACTCACTGTGATAGATTTCTACCTGTACTCAGGTCTTTATCAAGTCAGTGTCCCCTATGTATCAGAGTGTCTCAGTGCCCCATGTCTCAAAGTGTCTGTAGTGTCTCAGTGTCCGTAGTGTCTCAGTGTCCATAGTGTCTCAGTGTCCATAGTGTCTCTGTTCCCCTAGTCTCTCAGAATCCCCTAGTCTCACAGTGCCCCCAAGTGTCTCAGTGTCCCATAGTATAAAAGAAAAAAATCTCAGGCACTCACTGTGATAGATCATTTAAGCAGGTTTATTGGACACCGCAACATTTTGAACTGTACCCAGGTCTTTATCAAGTCTCCTGTGTCCCCTATATTTCACAGTGTCCCCTATGTATCACAGTGTCTCAGTGCCCCATGCAGGGACGTATTAGACGCGAGACAAACAAGGCATTTGCCTTGGGCGGCATTTTTCAGGGGGCGGCAAAAAACTGCCCAGGGCAAATGTCTTGTTAGCCTCGCAGCTAACAGACATGCTGGGCTGGCGGGCAGCGCTGGCTGATGGTCCGGCGAGTGAGCACTTCCTCTGAGCTGACTGTTCAGCTCCCTCGCACGCTGCAGAGTGAGGCTGGAAGCCGGAAGATGACGGGCGGCACGCGAGGGAGCTGAGCAGACCGCTCAGGGGAAGGGCTCCCTTGCCAGCCAACCGCCCGCCCAGCCCGGCAACCACTAGACCCCCAGGGAGGTAATGAACCCCTCCCCCCCAGCACTCCCAAAGGTAAGAGGGCTGGGGGGGGGGGGTTAAATAATAATAATTTTAAAAAAAGTGTTAATGTGAGTGACTGTGTGTGTGTTTGTGTCTGACTGTGTGTGTGTTTGTGTCTGACTGTGTGTGTGTGTCTGACTGTGTGTGTGTGTTTGTGTCTGACTGTGTGTGTGTGTGTGTGTGTGTCTGACTGTGTGTGTGTTTGTGTCTGACTGTGTGTGTTTGTGTCTGACCGTGTGTGTGTATTTGTGTCTGACTGTGTGTGTGTTTGTGTCTGACTGTGTGTGTGTTTGTGTCTGACTGTATGTGTGTGTCTGACTGTGTGTGTGTTTGTGTCTGACTGTGTGTGTGTTTGTGTCTGACTGTATGTGTGTGTCTGACTGTGTGTGTGTTTGTGTCTGACTGCGTGTGTGTTTGCGTCTGACTGTGTGTGTGTTTGTGTCTGACTGTGTGTGTGTGTCTGACTGTGTGTGTGTCTGACTGGGGCAGTACAAAACCAGGATACACCACTGGCCCCATGTCTCCCAGTGTCCCCTCATGTCTCAAAGTCACCCAGTGTCCCCATGTCTCCCAGTGTCCCCAAGAGTCTGTGTCCCCGGGTCTCCCAGTGTTCCCTAGTATATCAGTGTCCCCATGTCTCCCAGTGCCCCAATGTCTCTCAATGTCCCCTAGTGTCCTAGTGGCATGGAGACATAGACACTAAGGGACTGGGAGACATGGGGACACAGACATGCCCCCTTTTTGTGTATGTTCGCCCCTTCCGGCAGCTCTGGTTATGTGATTTGTGTCAGTGGCCCACCCTTTTACCCCATCTATAGACTTCCTTCTTTACTAGACACTGCTGTTAGGGGGTATGGGTTTACTTGAAAGATAAAAGCGTGAGATTAGCATAGAGTATGTGTTTTCTCATAACTGCATCCTATGGGTTTCCCTCCAGCACTATCTCCATCAGATACATTGCACTTAGCAGGTAGGACTGTTTAAGTCAATAAGATTTTGTAATTAGGCCCGTCATAATTGTCAGCACCAGGCCCACTGGGCTCTTAATCTGGCCCTGGGTCCAAATACTCTGTCCCTGAGATCCCTACAAATCCACACGGAACACAAATTCCAAAAGGAACTAATATACAACACTTTATTTTACTTGGGACTAGGCCATATGATTGTTACATAAACATTGCTGTGACAAACATAATAAAATTCAAATAACCAAAACATGTCACAAAATGTACAGGAAATTATAATAACATAACAACGTTTTTCTGAACAGGTGCGGAAGACAATATTAAACACAAAACATCTCTCCTGCCTGCAGAAACAGCAATATGCAAATCTACCTGAATATGCAAATTAACCAGCCTTGCTATTCAGGTAGTGCATATTGCTGTTGCTACCAACAGAGGGCGCTACACAGGCTCCATAGCCAAATCCACCTAGTTGGTAGCAATCCTCAGCAGTACAGGAGAGCAGGCAAAACATTTAACAGTATACACACACACTATAAACACCCTGCACCTATAATGGGCACAGGGTGACTGAGATATAGGAGCCATTTAGAAACCATTGTAAAGTATTCAAGTTTATGTATTGTAAATATTCATCTAATAATGAAAAGAAAACAAATCCCAGTTATATTTTATATATTAATTGATAGCAGGGGTGGGGAACGTCCGGCCCGGGCCGTATAAGGCCCGCAAAATAATTTTGTCCGGCCTGTGGAGAGTCGGCCCTGTTGTCGGTCTCCTGGCTGTTTGTTAATAGAGACAGAGGGAGTTAGGACCTGGGAGACTGCCGGATAGGAGGAGGACCCGGGAGGCTGTAATCTTCCTGCACGTTACCATGGCGACGCTCCAACAGCGATGTGCTCACGGGAAGAAAAGAGTGAAGTTACACAGCACCCCTGGCACAACAAACACACAGCACCCCTCGCACACACAGCACCCCTCACACAAACACATGGCTCCCCTCGCACAGACACAGCACCCCTCATACAAACACACAGCACCCCCCCCATAAGCAGCACCCCTCCATGCATACAGCACCCTCCCCACACACACACATCACCTCCCCACACACACACAGCACCCCTCACACAAACACACAGCACCCCTCACACACACACACACACACACACACAGGACCCCTTACACAAACACACTGTAGTGTGTTTGTGTGAGGGGTCCTGTGTGTGTTGGGGGTGCAGTGTGTTTGTGTGAGGGGGTGTAGTGTGTTTGTCTGATGGGTTATGTGTGTGTGGGTTACAAACATACTACACCACCTCACACATACTACACCACCTCACACAAACACTACGCCACCTCACACAAACACTACATCCCCTCACACAGACACTGCACCCCTCACATACACACTACCACACACACACACAACCCCTCACACAAACACACTGCACCCCCACACACACACACAGCACCCCCTCACACACACACTACATCCCTCACACACACACACTGCACCACTCACAAAAACACTGCGAGTAGCAATATCATCAATACCAGCTAACATCACACCAAAGAGAAGCAGTTCCAGCCATCACATTAGGAGTGAGTTAATTACATTTTTGGACACACACACACACACAGAAGGCTAATTTTTAAGTTGATAATTTTGTATGGCCCGTGAATTATGTTTTAAATGGCCCCTTGGCAGATAAAAGGTTCCCCACCCCTGATTTGTAGTAATTGGAAATATAAATGAAAGTTTTTTGGTTTTCTGTCTTAGTTAGTTTTATAGGCTAGTGGTTCATTAAACCCTGTATTTAAGTGAGCTAACTGTATTTAATTGTATCCTGTGTGAAATGTGAGACAAATTGAAAAACAAATGGAATTAGCATGTTGGAAAGTATGACGGTGTTGGACAGAACTGGTGGAATCCAAGTGTGTGCAAGATTATGCTGTAAATCATGAAATGTTCCATCACGTTTTTGGCAGGTGCGATAGATATTTGCAAAACTGTAATATGCTTTTAAGTTTAAGCAGCTTACAATGTAACATATTCACTGTCTCCCAGCAGTATTCTCAAAATTCGCAGTGTACAAGTAGTTTCAGCTGAGGGCCATGTTAATAATGAAAACAGTAATCTATTGAGAGTGAAGAATCTGTTGAGAGTGACATACATCATGCTAAACACAAGAGAGATGAGACTAATTTAAGGAGCCAGCTTTAGCCAGTCAGGAGCAAGCAGTCATATGGCAAGATCCATTTAGTGACTTCCATTGGGGGATGAATTTCTATGCTATGTAAAAAATGTAAAGGAACACGCCATGCGC